TTCAAGACAAGAGCTTTAAGAATGCTAAGCTTAGACAATATGTCAATAAATTATTGAGGCATTATGATGATCTTGCCCTTATCATCGGGGATGATCAAGCTAGAGGGAAATTTGCTAGTGATGCTTGGAAAAAGTTTAGTCGTAGCGAGTCCATAAATCTTGGAGACGATGCTGACTCTCCTTTGTCTGCCTCACAATCTCCTCAAGTACACATTTTAGATAACGAGGACACTCCTCCGCCTAAGGAAAGCACCCGTGATGTCAAGTTCTAAGGCAAATGCATGTGTTGGTAAGGGTAAGGCTCGTAGGACCAACCTAGATAATGAGCTCATACTAAAAATGGTGGATAAGATAGATGTATTCAGCGCTAGCATGAAATGTGTAAATATGCATTGGACCGAGAAGTTATCCATGGTCCTATATGCTCATTTACAAAACTTCAGTAATGCTAAGCTAGATACATACTACCGTCACCTCTTTTTGAATGAGCATGAATCAAGACTATTTATGGGTATATCTCTGGTTGGTCAAAAAGAAATAATTGATGCCTTTCTCAACAAAGAGGGTTGAAGTCCAATAGAATATGTGTGTACGTGGTATTTTGTAATTCTCACTTCTAACATACTTATGAAATCCACTTTTGGTGAAAGAATATTATTGTTTAATTTAGGCAACTACTCGTAGGAATGTTATTTTTGTGTTTGTGGAACATTACAATGACGGAACATATTATTGTAATATATAGTAAGTATTTATATGCCTCCATATTATAATATTTACCTTGCATGATGTGAATGTTGCAGAATACTAACTTTTACAATGAAATTGTGACTGCAGAAACTTTATAAGTCACCATACGATCATGACAACTGATAAAATTATCTGAGAGGCAAGTAACCTACAAGGTACACGCATTGTATTGGATGGCTATTGCTGTGGGTGATTAAGGTATTCGGTTGTCTTGCCCCGAGTTTAATTTGGTGACTTTTTTACTTTTAGGCTATGATGATTGTCAAAATTTCTGAGGTTAGTAACCTGCAATAGCTATTGCTATTGTACTGGATGGCTAATAATGATGATATTGACCAAATTCTGAGCCCTAAGAAATAATCAATAGCCAACATCTGATTACTTGATGGCGATAGTTGATGTGGTTGATTGGTTGGTTGGTTAGTGTTGTTGGTTGGTTGATTTGTGTTTCTTTGCATATTGTCCTCTAATCTTTGCCAAAATTTGATGTTGATTACATGTGCTCGGGATTGTTGGTTGGTGTTGGTTGATTGGTTAGTTGGTTGGTTGGTGTTCATGGATGGCTGGTGGGTGTTTCTTGGTTCATTGGCTGGTTGGGTTTTTGTGTGCTATTTGGGTTTGTGGCTTTGTGGATGGTTGGTGTTCATGGATGGCTGGTGGGTTTTTAGTTTTGTGTTTGTACTGGCTTTATGGCTGTTTGTGATGATGATGAGCACACATTGTTCAGGTTTTCAATTTGTGCTGGCTTTGTGGCTGTTTGTGCTAGTTTTCAGTTTGAGTTCATGTCCATAAATCTTGTGTGCACAAATTGTTCAGGCTGGTTGTTTGTACTGGTTTTCAGTTTTCAGATTGTGGCTATTTGTGCTGGCTGTTTGTGCTGGCTTTGTGCACTGTCTGTGCTCAGTTTTTGTGTACATATGAATAGTTTTTGGGCTGGTTGGTGCTCAGTTTTTATGCCTCGTGAGTTCTAATTTGTACCATGTTAGTCCTAATTTATGCCATGTTAGTTCTATTGCAGCTCATGTTAGTTCTAATATATGTCATATGAGTTCTAATGTATGCCTCGGGAGTTCTAATTTGTACCATGTTAGTCCTAATTTATGTCATGTTAGTTCTATCGCGGCTCATGTTAGTTCTAATATATACCATGTGAGTTCTAATGTATGCCTCGTGAGTTCTAATTTATACCATATTGGTCCTAATTTATGCCATGTTAGTTCTATCACGGCTCATGTTAGTTCTAATATATGTCATGTGAGTTCTAATTTATGCCTCATTAGTTCTAATTTGTACCATGTTAGTCTTAATTTATGCCATGTTAGTTCTATCGCAACTCATGTTAGTTCTAATTTATGTCATATGAGTTCTAATTTATGCCACGTGAGTTCTAATTTGAACCATGTTTGTTGTAATTTATATCATGTTAGCTCTATCGCATCTTATGTTAGTTCTAATTTATGTCATGCGAGTTCTAACTTGTGTCACATGAGTTCTAATTTATACCATATTAGTTCTAATTCTCCATCTCAAAGTCATAGCAAGTTGCTCCTCCACTAACATGTCTTGAGTCTCGCAATAAAGCATTCCTCCTCATTATCTCTACAAGCTAGTGAATTTAGAGTAACCTACATATTTCTAGTTTGATGGAATTAAAGTGAAACATGTATGCATATTTTGTTTTATGATGATGGGCCATTTTTAAGATTTACAGCCAAAGTTTATAGCAGCAATATATTAGTGAGGCAATATATTGCAGCCAACATTGCTATTATAAATTGCATGACGAGGCAAATAATGAAAAAATGGCCTTCTATGAGCACATTTCTTAAGTGTTGAGCTTTTCTTAACTGAGCTTTTCTTAACTGAGATCCAAGTTCTGAATTTCTTAAGTGTTGAGCTTTCTTAACTGAGACATTTGGGTTGGAAATGTCTACATGGTTTGCTAGCAGTTTGTATTTGCGACATGGATCTTTCTGCCCTAATTTGGAATCTAGGGAATGTTTGCATGGTTGGAAATGTATGCATGGTTTGTTGCTTGGCCTTTGTTTCAATTGTGTGCATGGTTTCAGCTCCTGGGTTGGTTATGATGTTGGTTTCAGTTGTGTCCTTCGGTTGGACTTTGGTTTCGGTCCTTGTTTGGCCTTTGGTTGGTCAGCTATGGTTTTACAATTTTGGTTTTAGTCCTTGATTGGCCTTCGTTTCAATTTTTAGCATGGTTTCAACCTTGCTCTCGGCCTTGGTTTCAGCTCCTGGGTTGGTTATGAAGTTGGTTTCAGTTGTGTCCTTTGATTGGCCTTTGGTTTCAGTCCTTGTTTGGCCTTTGTTTGGTCAGCTATGGTTGGCCTTTGGTTTCAGTCATTGCTTGGCCTTTGTTTCAATTGTGTGCATGGTTTATGCCTCGTGAGTTCTAATTTATACCATGTTAGTTCTAATTTATGCCTCGTGAGTTTTAATTTGTACCATGTTAGTCCTAATTTATGTCATGTTAATTCTATCGCGGCTCATGTTAGTTCTAATATATGTCATTTGAGTTCTAATGTATGCCTCGTGAGCTCTAATTTGTACCATGTTAGTCCTAATTTATATCATGTTAGTTCTATCGCAACTTATGTTAGTTCTAATTTATGCCATGTAAGTTTTAATTTATGTCACGTGAGTTCTAATTTATATCATGTTAGTTCTATCGCGACTCATGTTAGTTCTAATATATGTCATGTGAGTTCTAATTTATGCTGGGTTAGTTCTAATTTGTACCATGTTAGTTCTAATTTATGTCATGTTAGTTCTATCGCAGCTCATGTTAGTTCTAATTTATATCATGTGAGTTCTAATTTATGCCACGTGAGTTCTAATTTGAACCATGTTTGTTGTAATTTATATCATGTTAGTTCTATCGCATCTCATGTTAGTTCTAATTTATGCCATGTGAGTTCTAATTTATGTTACGTGAGTTCTAATTTATACAATGTTAGTTCTAATTCTCCCTTTTAATTTCAACTCATCTTCCTTTTAACCGATACATACTTGGTTTGCAGCACTCACCCTATGGCATCGACCCGGACAATTACGAACTATTTTTGACATATATTGAAAAATATACCAAGCTTTATACCAATGCATTTTACCCCATCAGCAGGATTATGTGACAGTTCTTTGTTGGCCTTGTTGCAGAACTTTGTGAATGCATTTTACCCCATCAATTGTGTGCTTGCCAAGTGTGTTTTCGGCCAATGAAAGTGAAGGAAACACAAAAAAGTGAAGGAAAATAGGTTTTGAAAAATGAAGGAAACGAACCAAATAGGCCCTTATATGATTAAGATTACCTCCCACAACAAGCACAAATAAATTTGTCGATAGTGGGGGGTAATCTTACCATGGTGACCATAAATACTTTTTCCTACCCACTTCAAACCCAACCAAACACAAGAAATGTGGAAAATATCAAATCAACAAAAGTTTTCCCTTTTTTCCATGCAAACCAAACACAAGAAAAGTAAATACATTGCTTTCCCACCATATTTTACATGTGAACCAAACTAAAACAATCTATTTCTTGAAAAAATTTGGAAAACTCAAAAGTTAAGTTTCTTTACATAGAATTGCACTTTTCTATATCTAGAACGAACCAAACAAGCCCTAAGAGTCAACAAACAAAGCATATATACGTGTACGTGTCAAAGCTAATTTTACACTTACAACAGCTGTAAACACTGTACAGAAAATTTCTACTTTCATATTTTAATGAATCCTTGGCAGAGTACCAAAAATCCAAGCAATTCAATTACCACGAGGCATTCAATTTTTACGATGTAATCTAATCAAGGAGACTAAATATTGACAATTAAAACCTCAAACTTCAACAGCCTGAACTCAAATTTCAGAAGCCAAAGTCGTTGACAAATCTGGTTTCTATATTTCAATGAATCCTTGCCAAAGAGATTACCGAAATTTGCACAACTCAATTACAAGTCCATTCAATTTTTGTGCTGAAATGTAATCAAAGGACCAATGACTGACAAATAAAACCTAAAGATTCAACAGCATGAACTCAGATTTCAGAAGCCAAAGTCATCAACATAAGATATATGTACATGGACAAACTCAGCTAATTTACACTCATGATAGTTGTAAATAATGTACAGAAAAATTTCTAGTTTCTACACTGGGGAATACTGAACTATCCCCCTTGGAAGAGGGGGAAAAGGAAAAACTAATGAATAGGTAAACAACCTAGTTAAAGGAGAATATATATATATATATATTAAAAAATAAAAAAATCACAAGCAAGAAAATACATCATTATACAGTTTGAACCGTCAATGAAGAAACTTTCTTATGCAACCTCCCTTTCAACTGTCTAATTTTCTCATCAACCCTCGCAGAAAACCCAATTTTAGTCTCCTGCCTCGCTTTAGAGCTCTCCCTCTTCCACATAGGTTGATCCTCAACATCCTTCCTACAATACTTAATCTCTTGAATCACATGATGATCCATGGGATTTCGTATTCTCTGATATGAAATATGTGCAAGATACGGAATATTGCACGAAGCAGTCACCAAAATCGTAACAATCCAATAAATTGGAGCCGGAGCTAAAACTTCGACAAGTATTTGATAAGCATTTCCAGATGTATGTGGCGATGAGAGTCCATAGGCTAAGAGGAAGAGATACCACGTAGAAATGCTCCCCCAAACAAAGAGATGTTGGATCCAAGTGAAGTGGCTCATGATGAGGGCGATTTGGACATTAACTGCGCATATTATGCATGTGAACATGGTGGTCCCCACTGTGGCCATGTCAGCAATCTGACCTTGTTTCCGGAAGGCTTGATCGTAGAAAATGTTGATGGTGAGGAAGAAGATAATGAGGGAGGAGTAGAGGCCATTTGCCATCCAGCCGAAGATCCTGTACCAGTCGAAGAATAGGTTTTTGGGGCCTTGTTGGTATAAGGCTGGGAACTGCAGGAGTTTTGAGAAGGAAATATGTCATTACTTCAAAGCTCAAAGATTAACTGACGCCAGCAAGTGTTTCATCTTGTTTCTATTCTATTTCAGAACTGTTACTGTTTGTTCCCAGGGAATTCTCAAGATTCCATTGAAAACCTATCCCACATTGAGGAGTTTGTCGGACCAAAATTCCTCTTATACTTCTTTGAATTAATTGCAAATAGACCCCCGTACTATCGCCAAATTGAACTCACTACATCTCTAGTTCTATTGTCCCAGATCGACCACCCTAGTGTTTTTTTATTTTTTATTTTTTTTTGACCAATTTCATGGGGCCTATCTACGACAATAGATTTTCACTCAGGGGGTCTATCTGCAAGAATTCTGCAATAATAGAACCAGAGGGTACAGAGCTCAATTCAACAATAATACAGGGGGTCTAATCCACAATTAACCCTTTTTCCCTTTATTTTGAGAGAGTGTCTGGGAAAATAATTGGGATTTGCAGCCACATCAACACAATCCCATGTCAGTAGTACTCCCTCTAGAGAATTTTAAGAGATGAAAAGTGGTCCCTAAATTCAACTTTGCATCCAACTTTGCATCCAACTTTCCATCCAACCAAAAAAAACACAGAAAACTCAGAAAGTTTGGAGTTTTGAGAAATTTTATCTTGTCAGATTCCTAAACTTGATTTAATCATCCAACTAGTCCCCTGATAAACTATAAATCCAACGGAAAGTGATGATAACTGTAACAAAAGCCCATTGTAAAGAACAGAATATTCTTTATAGTCCAAAAGGAGATAAAACAATGCATGAAAAACTGTTCTGAGGATGTATGAAAGACACAAGCTCTTCGAGGAGAGAACATACCTGCAAGCAGACCTCTGAAGAAACATCTTGCTCAAAGACTCCAAGCGATATAACAGGCAAGGAGGTGAGGACAACATTGAATAATAACATGTACCAGTCGTCATATACAGATTGACCAGAAAAACTTGTATATGCCTCAAAATAGAATATCCAGTCGTCATATACAGATTGACCAGAAAAACTTGTATATGCCTCAAAATAGAATATTGTGAGGCCAAAGGCTATATTCTTGTAGAAGAAATAGCAGAAAACTTGTATATGCCTCAAAATAGAATATTGTGAGGCCAAAGGCTATATTCTTGTAGAAGAAATAGCAGACCTGAGAGTTGTTTGATAAAATCCAGACGTAAGAATCACATAACTAAATGTTTGAATTAAGTGGATTAAACCATAGATGGGAGTATGATTCAGCTCTTACCATCTGGGCGATCCTCTTATAGCACCAATGTCCATGAACAATAAGAAGCCGCTCTAGAAACCGAAACTGTGCTATAGAGAAGTCACTAGCCATTACAGCCTACAGAGAAATGGAAATCAGTACACATGGTAGGTATTTGAAAATTTAATTTCTTAACAGTGTCATATTTATTCCAGAATCGTGATTCAAGATTTTCCTAGCTATTAAATTTAGAAGGGTATTACAAATATTTAGAGATTCAGTGTTTTGGTTACCAACCTGCATTCCTTCCACACCACTGATACCGACACCTATATCAGCCTCCTGAATCATACCGACATCATTAGCCCCATCACCAATTGCTAATGTAGTTTTCCCAGTTCCTTCTTTTACTAGCCTAGTGACCTAAAAGCAAGAGAATTGCAGTACGGTTTTAAGAGGATCTGCAGAAAAGTAATCTTTTTGCTGAGTAAATAGACTAACAGAAGGCAACGGATACTAACCAGTGCTTTCTGCTTTGGAGAGACCCGGCAGCATATCACAGAAGCACAATCCACTGCTAAATTCAAGAACTGACGAGCCATATCATCCTCCAAAGCATATGCTAAAGCTTTGCCATCAATAATTAAAGCAAAAGCAGCATGAGGATCCTTTTCGAGCTTGATCATTTGAGAAGCATTTGTGATTTGCATCAACATATTCTCCCTTATAGCCTAACCAAATGGAAACAAAGCCTACCATGATATTAGTTTTCCTCGCAAGACAAGTCCATACAACAGTAGCTGAGGATATAAAGCTGAAAAGTTTACCTGCTTGGCATCTTCTGCTATCCGATCAGTGTTTAATGCGGACAAACATATTTGTCTCATGCCTTGTCTAAGTAAACTGCAAGCAAATCTACACAAAGAAACAGACTCTTGTCTAAGTATTCAGCACCGAACTGGGCAGTTAAAAGCATTCCCATTATAATGAAATAAAATAAGCAAGAAAAGAAAAACAGGCATACCCTATATTTATCGCGGTTTCCATTTTATCACCGGTTAAAACCCAGATTTTTAAACCAGCTTGTGCTAACTTATCAATGCACTGAGGAACCTGTTACAGTAAAAAATAATGTCAGTAAACTTAAAACCATCATTTCAGAAAGTAAAAAACTTAGTGCTGATGCTTACTCCTTTCTGTAATTTATCCTCAACTGCTGTTGCACCAACAAGAACTAAATCCTTCTCAATCATATCAGCAACTCGTTCAAGTCGTGCTTCTCTATCAGGGCCTATGGTAGTCTTTGCTTTAAGGAACTCAGTGTTCCAAGCTGAATACTCAGGCTCTTCGAGCTTCTTGTATGCTAGTGCCAGTGTCCGCAGTCCTGCTTCCCCATATTCATTTAGGTGCCTAGTTGTATCAGCCTCATAGTTTCTTCCATTTTTTGAAAGTCTTTCTAATATAATACTGGGTAAGAAACAAACAGAAAACACTTTAAAACAGGCAATGGGGTCATATATCAAAATATTAGATGACCTAAGAAAATCAAGATCATAGTACAACTACCATGGGAACAAAAGATCATACCTATCGGCACCTTTGCATAGAAGAAAAATCTGCCCAGTTTCATCTCGCACAACTACTGACATTCTCTTCCTTTTGCTGCTGAATTCTAGTAAATTGAGAATCTTGAACTCCCTATGAAAAAGGATCAACCATTAATATACAAAATTTCAGAAAAGCCGTTATGAATAATCAAATAATGCCATCATGATTCAATACCAACCTTTCAACAGGGTCAGCAGAAGGAGGGATCCTTTCTCGGATGAAGACACTAGACTGAGTCCTCTTACAGAATTCAAACCCAAATTCACGCGCTGCGACAAGAAAAGCCCCTTCATCTGGTGACTCTGCTTCATAGTTAAAGTTGCCTGTTTCCTCGTTTGGCTCAGGGATTGCTGTGTGGCAGAGTGCAAGAATCCTGAAGAACAAAATAATGGTGCCAGCATTTGGCTCTTTTGTCCAATTACCATGCATGAGACGGTCATCCTCAAAGCTGAACCCTTTGATTGCTGGCTTCTCCGTTTTTTCTGAAACAACAAAATCACTTTCCAGTTCAATTTCTGATGCTTGGGGAGTACCTTCAGTATCCCCCCACAATTCTCTGCTGTTGCGATGCTGCGCATTGGAAGCTTCTGAAGCCATCTGCTTTGCTGCAGCAAGCTCCACTTCACTAGAACCCACACCATAGGAAACCCCAGCAATGGAACACTTCAAGAAATCCATCTGATTACAAGTCAAAGTTCCAGTTTTATCTGATAAAATTGTATCCACCTGCCCAAGCTCCTCATTCAAATTTGAGGTCCGGGCTTGTGCAGGATTCCCTGACTCCTCATCATACATTTGTAAATCATGATTGATGAACATGGCTTGTAAAACTTTGACTACTTCAATAGACACATAAAGTGAAACAGGAATTAGGTATCCATACATGATAAGAGCCGTCACTAGATGATAAATGCCTGATAGGCCAGCCGATGATGGGTTATAGAACCTGTCTGAACTCTCTGGTTGCATGTACCACCATTCTGGCATAAAATATTTTGTCTTCACAGCAAAACCAATTGAGCTCATCACTGAGATCAACACAAGAATTGTAAACAGGATGTATATGATCTTGTCCATCTTTTTTTCAATTGTGCTTCTTTTAGAAGGAGACTCTGTTGCGTTTTGCATCACTTTGGTGTCATGACCAGTAAAAATAACAACTCCATAGATATAAGTAGTATTCCGAAGCTTTGAATCTCTGAGGAGGATCTGATTAGGATCAAGTGCATAAACCTGGCGCTCATATTCGAAATTCCCCACAAATGTGTAAAGGTTAGGATTCGGATCTTCACACCGGATAGTAGCCGAAAAATCTTTGAAAGCTTCATCATCTTCCAAAGGCAAAGTCACCTCCAAAGACCTCTTAACCTTCAAATTCGTTTCACCATCCAAATTCATAGTCTCCACATAACAAATCCCATCTTCATAGCTTGATGACAAGAGCAACAAATCAGCAGGGAAAAACTGATCCTTCTCCACCTTCACAATATCCCCTACCCGAATCTTCTGCCAATGTTTGTAACAAAATCTTCCCTCCCTCTTATGAACACTAACCTTCCGTATATTAACCTTCATATCTTGCATAAACCTCCGCCAATCTTCCAATGCCTCCTTAGCCATACTAAGCCCAACAACAAAAGCCAACGGCGCAATCATACTAACGGGAGAGAAGGGGGAAACGGGAGTAAGGGAGAGGATTGAAGCCAAAAGGAAGTAGATATTGGCTACTCTTCTGAATTGTTCAAAAATGGCTTTGGGGAGGAACGTGATGATATTATACTTTGTAGTGGAGATATAATTTGTTGGGTATTTGAGAGGTTTTATTCGGTGAATGCGGGGTTGGTTACAGTAGACTGTACGTGAAAAGCCGGGTCCTTGGAGGGATTGAGGGGGTTCTAAGTCAGAGAGAACCGAAGGACGAACACAAGAGAAAGAATAGAGCTTGCTCCATCGGAGCCGCTCCCTTCTCCTCCCCTCTCTAGCCATTACTCACTTCTTTGTTTTCTTTTCCTTCTGATTCTACTTCTGTTGTTAGGGTTTCTTTCAGCTCAATTTAACAGAACAAATCATGCTGATGCCTAATGTTTGTGGGTTTCAATTCTGACAAATTAATGCATGGACTACTTTCGTTTAGGGTTTGGTTTTTAGCCTGTAGGGCTACTGCCAGATGGCTGAATGGAGAATTAACTCCAGAATATCTGAAATTTAAAGGAAAAACAGTAATTAAAGTACCTATATAATCTAAAATCAATTTAAATTACTCATCAGGAAGTGTAATTCAAAATTTTACAGAAAATCTTCAAGAAAAGGGGGAAAATAAGGTAGGCAAATTTCAAATCAAGAAACAGTGTAAATATGCATTAATCACACATCAGGATTATGTACATAGAAATAACAAAGTTTACATCAGGAAGAAATCAAATTAATCCTGTAGAAAATACAAGCTAATTCCGCAAACAAAATTGAAAATTTTTAGTCAACGCGTGAAGGATTAGGGCTAAAAAATATGAATTTATAACAGCTGCAATTTACAAATCTCAACTGAAAAAGAAACAATAAACAAATGAGAAACCGCATTCGGATCTGAAGACTAGGTTAATTTTTTTTTTAATTAAAAAAACAGAAATCAGATGTCAATGCACAAATTGAAGATCAAAGCTTAATAAAATAAAAAACTTACAAAAATACATCAAAAAAACTGGGGGAAAAATCAAAAGCTTCGAGAAGCAAGAAACCTAAGATCCAGAGCAAAGTCGAAGGAAAAAAGAAAAACGCACCTCGATCACGAGGATGAGCACCGTCCAATCGACCCCAAGATTCGTGCTCTCTCTCTCTCCGTCTCTTCCGCGTTCTCTTTTAAAGAAAACTCCGGCCGGCGTCGGTTAACCTTTTGCGTCTTAAACCCTGGGCCAACTAATATTTATTATCTCGCCCCTCACGAAGAGAGGCCTCGCTTTCCTTTCAATTGCAAAAAATTCTATTTTTACATACATCAGTTACTCGTATTTTAATCAAGGTCGGTGAGCTGGATCCCTGGGTCTTTGCCTTCCATAGTCTTTACGGGACCCACGTCCAGCGGTCCAAACCGAGTAACTTGATTGAACCGATCGAGGTTTGGTTCATTTTTACAATAACAGACTGGTTTGCTTTGAAAAAAGAATTTTAATCTTACCTTGTTGGATTTAATCTAATAAATCTATTTGTGGGCACATATGATTAATCAATGTGTATTGCTATCTTTCAGGATAACCCACTAAAGTGATCAATTAAGTTGGGTTAATTTGGTATTTAAATAAGTCATGGGGTTATATGTGCAGATACCAGGTTGTAATTGTAATTTATTGAGGGGCTAAATTACAAAAGTACAACATCTATAAATAAGGGGTTATGGTCCCTAACCTAGGGTTACATTCTCTAATTCTCTTCAACCCCATCTAAGAGAGAAATTCGGATTTAGAGGAACCCTAAGGTTAGAAGATCCAAAACTCATCTCAAGGTTCATCCATGGATTCAGGTATAAGCTTCCGCTCTTTTTAATTATTGTTAATCTCTTTGAATTAATCATGGCTATATGGTTTTAGATCTCAAGTTTTATGATGTAGATCTAACAAGTGGTATCAGAGCCAGGTTGATTAATTCTTAGGGATTTAAGTTTTATTGGGTTTTTGATCTTAAATCTCTGGTTAAAGATTCAATTTTTGGGTTCGGATGAACAGTAATGTTCTCGGATGAACAGTAATGTTCAGTGAACAGTAACGAAAATTTTTTCGGATGAACAGTAAAGTATTTTTTCGGATGAACAGTAACTGAAAAAATCGCCGGTGAACAGTAACTTTTGGGAATTTTTTGGTTTTTTCTTTGATTTTTCCTTTAATTTTTTTCAATTCTGGATCTGTTTTGAAAATAAAAATCAAAGGTTTTTTGGGTTTGTCGGCGGCGGTTTCAATTTGAAACCCTAAGGGTTCATGGCGAAAATTAAGGAGGTGGTTACCTCAAACGAACCTCGCGTTCGTTCAATTTTAACCGAGCTTCGCGCTCAACGAACCTCGCGTTCGTTCTAAGGTGAACCTCGCGTTCAACTCAGGTGAGCGTCAAGCTCAATTTTAACGAACCTCGCGTTCGTTCTAAGGTGAACCTCGCGTTCAACTCAGGTGAGCGTCAAGCTCAATTTTTTAACGAACCTCGCGTTCGTTCTTCAGACGAACCTCGCGTTCGTACTTCAGACGAACCTCGCGTTCGTACTTCAGACGAACCTCGCGTTTGTACTTCAGTCGAGCCTCGCGTTCGTACTTCAGACGAACCTCGCGTTCGTACTTCAGACGAACCTCGCGTTCGTACTTCAGACGAACCTCGCGTTCGTACTTCAGACGAACCTCGCGTTCGTACTTCAGACGAACCTCGCGTTCGTACTTCAGACGAACCTCGCGTTCGTACTTCAGACGAACCTCGCGTTCGTACTTCAGACGAACCTCGCGTTCGTACTTCAGACGAACCTCGCGTTCGTACTTCAGACGAACCTCGCGTTCGTACTTCAGACGAACCTCGCGTTCGTACTTCAGACGAACCTCGCGTTCGTACTTCAGACGAACCTCGCGTTCGTACTTCAGACGAACCTCGCGTTCGTACTTCAGACGAACCTCGCGTTCGTACTTCAGACGAACCTCGCGTTCGTACTTCAGACGAACCTCGCGTTCGTACTTCAGACGAACCTCGCGTTCGTACTTCAGACGAACCTCGCGTTCGTACTTCAGACGAACCTCGCGTTCGTACTTCAGACGAACCTCGCGTTCGTACTTCAGACGAACCTCGCGTTCGTACTTCAGACGAACCTCGCGTTCGTACTTCAGACGAACCTCGCGTTCGTACTTCAGACGAACCTCGCGTTCGTACTTCAGACGAACCTCGCGTTCGTACTTCAGACGAACCTCGCGTTCGTACTTCAGACGAACCTCGCGTTCGTACTTCAGACGAACCTCGCGTTCGTACTTCAGACGAACCTCGCGTTCGTACTTCAGACGAACCTCGCGTTCGTACTTCAGACGAACCTCGCGTTCGTACTTCAGACGAACCTCGCGTTCGTACTTCAGACGAACCTCGCGTTCGTACTTCAGACGAACCTCGCGTTCGTACTTCAGACGAACCTCGCGTTCGTACTTCAGACGAACCTCGCGTTCGTACTTCAGACGAACCTCGCGTTCGTACTTCAGACGAACCTCGCGTTCGTACTTCAGACGAACCTCGCGTTCGTACTTCAGACGAACCTCGCGTTCGTACTTCAGACGAACCTCGCGTTCGTACTTCAGACGAACCTCGCGTTCGTACTTCAGACGAACCTCGCGTTCGTACTTCAGACGAACCTCGCGTTCGTACTTCAGACGAACCTCGCGTTCGTACTTCAGACGAACCTCGCGTTCGTACTTCAGACGAACCTCGCGTTCGTACTTCAGACGAACCTCGCGTTCGTACTTCAGACGAACCTCGCGTTCGTACTTCAGACGAACCTCGCGTTCGTACTTCAGACGAACCTCGCGTTCGTACTTCAGACGAACCTCGCGTTCGTACTTCAGACGAACCTCGCGTTCGTACTTCAGACGAACCTCGCGTTCGTACTTCAGACGAACCTCGCGTTCGTACTTCAGACGAACCTCGCGTTCGTACTTCAGACGAACCTCGCGTTCGTACTTCAGACGAACCTCGCGTTCGTACTTCAGACGAACCTCGCGTTCGTACTTCAGACGAACCTCGCGTTCGTACTTCAGACGAACCTCGCGTTCGTACTTCAGACGAACCTCGCGTTCGTACTTCAGACGAACCTCGCGTTCGTACTTCAGACGAACCTCGCGTTCGTACTTCAGACGAACCTCGCGTTCGTACTTCAGACGAACCTCGCAGTTGAACCTCGCGTTCTTTTATCAAACGAACCTCGCGTTCGTTCATTTTCAGACGAACCTCGCGTTCGTGCTTAAGTGAGTCTCGTACTCAATACAGTCGAACCTCGCGTTCGAAGTTAAGGGAACTTTGTGTTCATTATGGTTAAGCCTTCAGGCTCATTTTAACATGGTTAGCGAGGAGGAGCTTATATCATGGAAAGTGTTAACACACTAGTGCTTCTCACTATGGCAGCAAATTTGTAGCTTGCTATGAGGCCATCAATCGAGAATATGGTCTGCCGAAATTTTTGGATCACGGGACTGCGCTTTTGGATGTTGCAAGACCATAGGCTTTATTGCTGACATTAATCTGCAGTAATGTATTCCAATACAACAGGTAGGAGGAGAGGTCAACTAAGTCAACTATTGACTTGTCCTGGTTGTGAAAGAAGGGTACAGGTGGACAGATATCCATAGGCACATTGGGAAAACTCCATGTTAGCTGATCTCTTTACTAAGGGTTGCACCTAAGGTTTCTTTCATGAGTACTGCTTTTCAATTATGGGGCGTTTGGTGTATTATTTTGAGGTATTATGTTTAGTGGAGTTTTGTTATTTGTAGTGCTCTATGTTTGTTTGTATTGTCACTAATCAGAATAAAGTTTTCGTTAGGACACTTGTTACTTTATGGGTTTTGGTTTTACCTCACTAAGAGAGCAGTTGAAAATAGACATGTGACTGTCACATTTGCATGTAATTTTCACTGCACTTTTTACCTTGATTGATCTATCGTCATTTGATATGTATGGCTATATGTGACCATTGATGGTCGAGTCACGATAAAATGTGACGAGGCCGCTTTGATCCTATATTGATATAGTCAATGGACGAGATGTTCGGAATACCTTTCAGTGATAGCAATTTTGAGGTTCCATAAGGTTTACACGTTTAAGGGGAATCATTTATGGTGCCCAAGTGGGAGATGTTTGGATGTTAATCTAATAAATCTATTTGTGGCCAACATATGATAATCAATCTTGTATTGCTATCTTTCAGGATTAACCCACTAAATCTGTCATTAGTTGGTTAATTTGGTCATTTAAACTAAGTCATGGGCGTTATTATGTGACAGGATACCAGATTGTAATCTGTATTTAATTGAGGCGGCTAAATACAAAGTACAAATCTATAAATAAGGGGTTATCGGTCCCTAACCTGAGGGTTACAATTCTCTAATTCTCTTCAACCATCTAGAGGAATTCGGATTTAGAGGAACCTAAGTAGAGATCAAACACCATTCAGCGTTCATCACATGATTCAGGTATAGTTCCGCTCTTTTTAATATTGTTAATCTTAATCTCTTTGAATTAATCATGGCTATATGGTTTTAGATCTCAAGTTTTATGATGTAGATCTAACATACCTGACTAAACCAAATGCTCTCTTGGTTATCTAGAAAGTCAGGAAAAGTTTGACAGTAGTCGCATTTCGCCGACGGTTGTCAGACACCAACGAAAAAATATCTTGTGAGCAGTTGAGTTTAAGGTTATGATTAGAGTTTAGGATATATGTCCCTCTAATAGGGAGAGTCACGTCGCCGGTCGCAAATTGACGCCCAGCTCTTTAAAAGCTTTACATTTTATTATTTTTTACTATTTACAAACTCTCTTTTTTATTTTCTTTTTTCTTAATTATTTCAGTTAGTCCGGATTACTCTTTTGTTGATTCCTTCATCTTCATAATTTTCTTATCAATCTCTAGATTTCTCATCTTTTTTTGTATCGAAATAATATGTTTATTTAATTAAATAGGTTAAAAGCTACGTTAAAATGGATCAAGTGAATTCACTCGGTTCGGTTTGATTTGATTCCTCATTTAGATCAATTTGGTCCGGTTTAATCAAAGATTTTGTCCTACCGGCCGAACAAACGTCGTCTCGTTCATTGATAATGCAGCATAAAACTCCTTGGTTAACGGCCTTTTGGGTGTTTGAGCCCGAGCAGCGGATCACTGTGATCGTGACGACTAAGTAAATGCAGTAGGGAATGGGTAATGAATGAATACACTGAAATTCTTGTACGTAGACTTTTCATGAAATCTT